ACATGCAACGATGCATAGAAGTAGAGGTGTAAGCTGCTTCGAGACATGCAACGATGCATAGAAGTAGAGGTGTAAGCTGCCTAGAGACATTGAACGATACATAGAAGTAGAGGTGTAAGCTGCCTTGAGATATGCATAGAAGTAGAGGTTTAAGCTACGTTGAGACATGCAACGATGCATAGAAGTAGAGGTGTAAGCTGCCTTGAGACATGCAACGATGCATAGAAGTAGAGGTGTAAGCTGCCTAAAGACATTGAACGATGCATAGAAGTAGAGGTGTAAGCTGCCTAAAGACATTGAACGATGCATAGAAGTAGAGGTAAGCTACTAGAGACATGCAACGATGCATAGAATTAGAGGTGTAAGCTGCTTCGAGACATGCAACGATACATAGAAAAAGAGGTGTAAGCTGCCTTGAGACATGCCACGATGCATAGAAGTAGAGGTAAGCTACCTAGAGACATGCAACGATGCATAGAATTAGAGATGTAAGCTGCTTCGAGACATGCAACAATGCATAGAAGTAGAGGCAAGCTACCTCGACAGAATGTGACTATATTTTTTGAAATTTTGTGTGAATTAGGAAATACAGAACTGTTTGATCCGCCCTCCTATCAAACGCTTTCACAAAATTAACAAACAATGAAAGAGTATCTTCTAAACGTTCATGCATAAGAACAGCTAGAAGGATAACAGTAATTGGATTATATGTCTGAGGAGTGCATTCCTCGAAACGTTTATTGTAGAGGACATATGGAGTTTGTTTTGGGAGCCATACATGCATATTTCACATGATGCGGGGAGATTTACAGCAGGTGCTCCGTTTATGATCAGTTGCAGATTTCTTGTTGACAATAATGTATAGATGGCTTGTTGATAGTGTAATGCCTTGTTGATAGTGTGATGCCTTGTTGATAGTGTCAACCGTTCTGTTACGTCATGGAACATTCTTTGTAATTCTGCTCTACCTAGTTCTTTCTTTAATGGAGAAACATGTTCCATGGAGAAACATGTTCCAATGTAGATATCACAAAATAATCTTAAATAATGCTTTTCAAAAAGTAAATAATGCTTTTCAAAAAGAATGACTCGGCAAATTTGAAAGGTAGGATTCCTTTATTATTTACTGTGTGAAACATATTCACAGGCAGTTTAAAACTTATTTAAAACCGGAGTTTTTGTTTTCAAACAAAGAGCAAAAAGTATCCCGACCGTTCAATGGGAAAAACCTTGCCGTGATATTCTTTTAAATCCATTTTGTTTTGTATCCTATGGCTATAGATTTCTCAATTTGTACGATACTATTTCTTTTGATATGTCATGTTTCATTGTTCTGTATGGTATTCTGACCGCTGTAGTGTATTTTCGAAACTTATGAAGTGAAAAGTGTTATTAAAGCTTTATTTCGAACGATATAGTTTTACATTTCATTTTACCAAATTTCTCAGCCATTTCCTAAAAAATTATTGCTAAACAGAAAATATTTTTTAAATTATAATTTCTTTCATACTGACTCAAAAACAAAGGCAGGTGGTACCGCACTATATATTGCCAATAACTTGCAATCTATACCTAGACCCGACATAAAATTTTCAATAATCATGCTGGGCCCAGGTTGATGCTGGCAAAAATAAAAAAGTGATAATCATAGGCTGCATTTACAAACACCCAGGTTGTAATCTTAACTCATTCAATGTAGAATTAAACAAAATTATTAAAAGTATTAATCCTGATAAATTTGATCTTTACATTTGTGGTGACATGAACATAAATTTCTTGAAACGTAATGAACATGAGGAAACGGAAAGTATTTAGATATGCTTTTTGACAACAGCCTTATTCCTATAATAACAAAACCAACTAGAATAACTGATCATTCTTCGACATTAATTGATCGTATCTATACTAACTTGCCCATTTCAAAACTAACACCGGGAATCTTCGAGGTATAGATATATCTGATCACGTATTTTGCATTGCTAAAACTCAAGTAGATAAAAGTACCAACAAAAGAAAATTCAGAGACTTTCGCAAATTTAACAAACAACGTTTCTTAGGTGATATAAAACAGATAAGCTGGGACGAAATTCTTACACCTAATAAAATATATTTGCTGTGTTGGTGTAATGTATGTGATGTTACTCTGAGTGTGTATGTAATGTATTACAGCATCGGGCTAGTATTCCAAAGATCGTAGGTTCGATTCCCACCGTGGCCAGGCATATTTTTCAAGTTTGCCCGGTGTGGATATACACTCAGAGTAACATCACATACATTACACCAACACAGCAAATATATTTTATTAGGGGTAAGAATTTCGTCCCAGCTTATCTTTTTTATATCACCTAAGAAACGTTGTTTGTTAAATTTGCGAAAGTCTCTGAATTTTCTTTTGTTTCTCTCCTTTTAGTAAACTATTAGAAAGACTTATATACAACCAAATTTTTGCCTTTCTCGAAAAAGAAAAGATACTTTTTGATTATCAGTTTGGTTTTAGAAAAGGATATTCAACTGAACACGCAATTCTCGAAACTATTGAAACTTGAAAACAGCAATAGACGAAAACAAAATAACTTGCGCAATCTTTCTAGATTTCTCGAAAGCTTTTGACACCATTAATCACGAGATCCTACTGAATAAAATACATTCCTATGGCATTCGTGGAGTGGCGAATAAATGGTTTTCAAGCTACATATCTGATCGCGAACAATACGTTAAAATTGGTGAAACAGAATCTAGTATGAAAACAATGACTTGTGGTGTCCCACAGGGATCTACTTTAGGACCACTACTCTTCCTGTTATATATCAACGATTTACCCAACAGTTTAGAATTTTCGCTGATGATACAAATATTTTCTATTCCTCAAACAGCGTAAATGAACTAGAAAAAACAATTAATGATGAACTAAAACATGTACTGAAATACTGCAATGATAACGTGATGGGTGTTTTACTTTTTTTTTATCGATGAGCATCTACAATGGGATGAACAATTGCAACATATACAAAACAAAATAGCCAAGAACACTGGAGTTATAAATAAACTAAGACATTTCGTATCCATTCATATGCTAAAACAACTTTACTACACACTAATATATCCTTTCTTAAATTACGGTATCATGAGTTGGGGCACTGCCTGTCCAACTAGATTGGATAAAATAAAAACAAAACAAAACAAATGTCTTCGTGCAATTTTTTCTCAAGAACAAACGAAAATGTAACGGCCTATTTTCAACTTCTCGAAATACTGAAACTTGAAAATATTTTTAACCTGAAAATATCATCTTTTGTTTATAAAATAATAATTAGGAAAACAGATGTTCCTAAAGCCTTAATAAATTTAACTATGGAAGCATCTGATGTTCATAGTTATAACACCAGTTATGCCTCCAAACAGAACCTATACAGACCAGCTTCTAGTTCTAGAACAAATTATGGGTTAACTAACCACATTCAAAACAAAAGCTTCCAAAAAATTCCTAAACAATTTAAATCATTGCCATTTTGTAGTTTCAAAAAACAGTATAAAATGTTTCTTAATAATCAAGTAGAATTACATGACAGATTTGACTAGACTTATATGCTATTAAAAATGATATTATAGCTAGTAATCATAAATATAAAATAAATTTTGTGAATTATACTATACAGTTAGAAACCCTAATACTAAATACTATAGTATAGAGATCAACTTTGTTTTTTGTTTTAAAAATACTCAAATATAATTTCATAATGGTAGTATAGTCAACTCGAAAGCTTCTGCTCCTTTGACCACTATACGCACTCTTCATCTGAAAATACTTATTATGAAATATTAATGTAAATATATATGCTAGCAATACATAATCTTGTAAGAAAGAAATAAGTGCAAATAGAACTGATTCTGATTTTGATCAAAATATCATGTATAGTTGAACCGTGATTGCAGTTGTCATGAAGTTTACTATATATGAGATATTATTTCATTGCATTATAGTTATTTAGTTCATTAATTAGAAAATTTGTAAAATAGAATTTTTAATGAAATTATAAGGAGGAGCACCTTGCAAGGTCCCATTCGTGCCTTGTCCTTCTGTCATGACTTATAAATTAGAAGTTCTCATGTAATAATAGTAATATGTCATGTAATTAGTAATGTGTTGTAATTTCATGATTGGTATTCACGAGTACTCAATACAAGCCAATAATTAGTTGTACATTCTTTCACTTAATTCGTGATTTCCGTTTTTTTAGATATGAATGTTCTTGTACTGGATGTTTTACATGCCAAGTCAACAAAGCCGTTTGGTAGAGTGGAAATTCATGATATAGTGGAGATAAATGGCGCTAATCCAATTGAGAGGTATGTTTTAATCTTAGATCAGTTATCAGCCAGGATATAACATCTTACCATATTACTGAAATCTCGTCATCTTCGACTTCATGATGCGAGGCTTAATAAAAAGGCACCTTGCATTATACAGATTGTAATATTGCCACTTCAGAATGAGTGAAGTTATTCATTTTATAGCAGAAACTATCCTAATTGATGCACTTACTGTAGTTTAAATATTCGTATATTAATTGAACAAATGGCAACTTATACTATAAATATCCTTTACAGTATACTAGGATTCAATGTCAACGAACTGAACAACATGCATGCACAGAGCTCGCTAGCCTGTGCAGTCTTGATGTCCTCCTGTTCCTCTACCTTATAGTAAAACTAATAGGTTAGATTCGTCTCAGAGTATATGTGTATCCTCAACTATTTATTTATTTCAGTTCATTTCTTTAATGTGCTAGTTACAAGTACATAAGTTAAATATTGCATGGACGGGCTACGTATTAGTTTTAGCATGCAGATTTTGGACTGTGGGTAGTGGGCGGATTTTTAAAATCTCAAATAGAGGTTTTATACCTTTTTAATAATATGATCAGCGATTTGGATGCACTCTCTGAGATCTCGCGAATGACCATTGTGCACATTCACGTGAAGGAGCAAACACATTCACGTGAAGGAGCAAACACATTCACGTGAAGGAGCAAACACATTCACGTGAAGGAGCAACCACATTCACGTGAAGGAGCAAACACATTCACGTGAAGGAGCAAACACATTCACGTGAAGGAGCAAACACATTCACGTGAAGGAGCAAGCACATTCACGTGAAGGAGCAACCACATTCACGTGAAGGAGCAAACACATTCACGTGAAGGAGCAACCACATTCACGTGAAGGAGCAAACACATTAACGTGAAGGAGCAAACACATTCAGGTGAAGGAGCAACCACATTCACGTGAAGGAGCAAACACATTCACGTGAAGGAGCAACCACATTCACGTGAAGGAGCAAACACATTAACGTGAAGGAGCAAACACATTCAGGTGAAGGAGCACGATTGGTTGGCACGAAATTTGTATTGGTTTATCACGTGCTAAATTTGACAAATTTCAATTTCTTTTTGATATTTTACAATTGTTACCATGACAAAAAAATCTAGGCTACGTCACTGCCTTGTTTTATCGTCGCACCTTGTCCGAGCTGAATTTAGTTCATGCAGGAATTATACAATCTACATAAACCTCACAGCAAATACAGTCTTGGACATATTACTGTATTAACTACAAATTATAGCTTTGCATATAGTTTGAATATTTGATTTTAGCCTGTTTTGTTGCCATGGTTTTCTTTTCCATAATATTCACACTCTATACTCTCACATTCACTGTCTCAGTCTATATGATATACTATTCTATCATACTATCTATGGTCTCTATGATATACTATCTATGGTCTCTATGATAAGTATACTATTCTATCATATACCATCTATGGTCTCTATGATATACTATTCTATCATATACCATCTATGGTCTCTATGATATACTATCTATCATATACTATCTATGGTCTCTATGATATACTATCTATATGGTCTCTATGATATACTATCTATGGTCTCTATGATATACTAATCTATGGTCTCTATGATATACTATCTATGGTCTCTATGATGTACTATTCTATCATATACTATCTATGGTCTCTATGATATACTATTCTATCATATACTATCTATGGTCTCTATGCTATACTATCTATGGTCTCTATGATATACTATTCTATCATATACTATCTATGGTCTCTATGGTATACTATCTATGGTCTCTATCATATACTATTCTATCATATACTATCTATGGTCTCTATGGTATACTATCTATGGTCTCTATCATATACTATTCTATCATATACTATCTATGGGCTCTATGATATACTAATCTATGGTCTCTATGATATACTAATCTTTGGTCTCTATGATATACTAGTCTATGGCCTCTATGATATACAAACATTTCTGTATATGGCGATGTGGGTAATTTGAATGGATGCATTTTATTCCAATGCTTTATCCCATGTAGATGGTATCCAGTAACGTCTCGTTCTGTACAACCAGTGATATTTGCAGATCTTCATGTTGTTCTCAAGTATGGGAAGTCTGTTGACGGTAGGTATGGGAAGTCTCAGATTGGAAATTGTAGGGATGGCGGTATAGCGGTAAACCTCAGCAGTACACATTGTATAAAATCAATCATGGTATATGATTTGGCTGCCTATTGTGTTATGTTGACAACAGAGTTATAAAATGAACTTCATATATGTAAACTGAAGTAAAAAACAAATTCTGAAAAGACAAGACATCTTGAGAATACAATATATGATTCAATACAATATATGATTCAAAACTGGTCACAAACACACACATGGTTGTAACAGAAGAGTTTTTCAATATAATTATAGAAAGATTTGTTTTCAATATAACGCGACCGCGCGTGTTGTAAACTTTACTTACGTACACATTTAAATTAGTTGATTTTCCATGTTTGCATATGTTCTTTGTAATGTGTGTTGGTATAATACGATATTCATATAATCATATTTTATTTAGTTACTGAATTACCGACAATTGTTCCTGTTATTGATAGTGGTTTTAGACATCCTATTGGCAATCATCCAGAAAAACAAGAAGTAAGCAAAATACCAGTGGTGTCAAGTAACGAAGTAAATGTACTTCGTTACTGTACTTAAGTACAATTTTTGAGAAGTCAGCATGTAACAAAGTAAACTTTTTCTGCAGTACTTTTACTTTGAACGAAGTCGTTTTAAGAAGTAGCGTTTTACTTCGTTATTTTCATTTTGTGGCGAAGTATTTCGTTACTTACTAACTTTTGTTTAATTTTAAGTGATAATATTTCTGATTTATTTTAATATTTGGATTGGTAATACGACCTCTACATGCGTCTGGGATCTCTCGTTTGTGGCTTACTTAGAAGCATTATTTATGTAATGGATTTCTTACATCTTCAATGGGGTTTGGAAAGTAAACCATGCCGTGTTTACTTAGAAGCATTATTTATTTAATGGATTTCTTATATCTTCAACGGGGTCTGGAAAGTAAACCATGCCGTGTTTACTTAGAAGCATTATTTATTTAATGGATTTCTTACATCTTCAACGGGGTCTGGAAAGTAAACCATGCCGTGTTTACTTAGAAGCATTATTTATTTAATGGATTTCTTACATCTTCAATGGGGTTTGGAAAGTAAACCATGCCGTGAAATATTGTATATTCGGTGCACGCATATAATGCGTGTGCTGTTTTGTGTCTTTTGTATGTCAATCCATTGGAGAAGCCTCCCCCCACGCTACAGACAATAGTACTTTTACTTTGTACTTCAAGTATTTTTTAAGGATACTTTGTACTTTTTACTTAAGTACGTTTTCCTTCCAGTACTTTTTACTCTTACTTAAGTCGTTTTATTGTTAATTACTTCTACTTTTACTCGAGTACAAATTCAAAGTAATTTAGGCGCCACTGCAAAGTACCCGTCACAAAATTCTCTCTTAGTTGATATTTATTTTTGAAATTTCCGTATGATTGCTAGACAGTAATATTTGAAATGGAGAAATTTTATTGCGAGAAAAACCTTCGCCGCTTATTTTACGTTAAACATTGTTGACTATTCAATAACAACATTTAAAGTCTTTTTTACTAGGGGTGCACCGGAACTCGGTTCCGTCCGGTTAGTTCCGGCCGGAACCCCGATTTTCCAGAGTTCCGGTTCCGGCCAGAACTAATAAAAATAGCATGGCCGGAACCGGAACTCTGTCGTTTTCAGAGAGATAGAATATCAAACGTTTTTGTGTCTAACAAAAGTTCACAGTAGGAAGAAATTTGGACTACGCTATGACGTTTAACGTTTGTCAATCTTTTTATTCTAACATTTGCGAGCTCTACTTGAAGTGTCTGCCTGTCTGGCAGCGGACAAAGTAACATATGACTATATATGGCTTGATAACTCATAAAACTTTTTTCCAGTTCCGGTCGGATCCGGTTCCAGCCGGAACTTAAAAAATTGGTTCCGGTGCACCCCTATTTTTTACAGGTTGATTGTTTCGCTATTATAAGCTGGTAAAATGCCAGAAAAATTGCTTCGTATGAGATTCAAAACAACTTTGTTAGATTTAGAAACATAAACACGTGAATCTTTCGCAGCAAAAGGAATTTTAGAGAACATGTAATGAATTTAAATTGACCTTTGCATACGAACATGGGTTTCTTTCTTGGGTATCGAAGTCCTGGAACTGAATGAAATCATACATGTCCAACACAACACCGCAGTAAAACGTCCGCGGGTATTTACTGCTGTCCAAAAGACTGGAAATAGTAGTGAACGAAGCTCTAGCGAAAAGTTTAAAGAGAATTACGAGGGTTTAAACTCAGTATAACTTCGTCTTGACACAAGGAAAAAGCGGTGAAATTCCCTACCTTATAGCTTCAGCCGTTTCCGTACAATAAACGTGTTTCTTTCCCCATATTTACTCCTATTATTTTGACACTTTTCCCACCATTTCTGTATACTCGCGCATGCACTTTACGTTTGACCGCGGGTGTAGGCCGCCAACACTCCACCCAAAACGTTATTTAAAAAGGTCACATGCAGATGCAATATGCAAAGGGTAAAGAAGTTGCTTAAAACTGTAGTTGAATATACGCTATAGCTGCAATTTAACTAGCAGGTGTATGGCGATCGGAACTTATTGCATTTAATTAAGAGTTGGTAGCGTGTTTAACACGTCATATTTTTTCTCTTCTAGCCTGAGGACATCAAAGACAAAACTAACGAATCTGGCGATATGCAAAGGAATGGAGGTACAATAAACTAGAAAGTAGATGTCTAGGAGCTCTGTTTTCGTTTGGAGAAACTAAATGTCTGGTTAAAAATAAAAATGTATTTTACACAGCAACCTCGCTTTTATTTATTCTATATACAAAACGTTTTGTCACTAAATCCTTTTTTCACATCCTCACTAAACCTCGTGCATCCTCACATTACTTCATGCATCCTCACACCACGTGATGCATCCTCACACCACCTCATGTATCCACACACCATCACACACGGTCACACCACATGCATTCTCACACCACCTCATGCATCCTCACACCACCTGATGCATCCTCACACCACCTCATCCTCACACCATCACACACGGTCACACTACATGCATTCTCACACCACCTCGTGCATCCTCACACCACCTCGTGTATCCACACACCACCGCACACGGTCACACCACATGCATTCTCACACCACCTCGTGCATCCTCACACCACCTCATGTATCCACACACCACCTCGTGTATCCACACACCACCGCACACGGTCACACCACATGCATTCTCACACCACCTCATGCATCCTCACATCACCTCGTGCATTTTCACACCACCTCGCGTATATGCATCCTCACACCACCTCGTGCATTCTCACATCACCTCATGCATCCTAACACCACCTCATATATCCACACAACACCTCATGCATCCTAACACCACCTATGTTGCACTTTTAATGGATGGGATGTATATTGTACATGATTTTTTTTTCTCAATTTTTCTATTATCAAATTTTAAGAAACTTTCTACTAGAACTATTTTGAGCTGCCGCACTTTTTAATGTTCAAGATGTGAACGATGATGATGTGATCATTTCATTGATCAAAAGAGGAGAAACTCTGAGAAATTCCATCATTGAGTCAACTGCTGGTCTTGAAGTCAAGGAAGAGAATAGTGATCTGATGGAACAAGAAGAGGAAAGGTACAATTAATGTCGTACCTAGGTCTTTTTTCTTTCATACTTTGGTGCCACGACCGTTGCACCAGAGCGTGAAAGAGTAAAGACCCTGGGTACGAGGTTGCATTCCTTAACAATATTGCTGGTGAGTATGAAAATCTTTTCTTTTTATTGTTGTTTTAGGTTGAGCAAGCAACATACTGAAAATAAATTACTAGCCTATTCTGCATTACATGTATATGCATAAGTAGTTACATTTTCTTCCCGTTAAATATCTAACAAACCTCATTTTAAATACCCTAATGCAAAACGATGTTGACGGGCACGAGAACTGATGGTTTTGATATTATTTTTAATTTCCTATAACAGTACATGTACGACTCGCCATATTTTAATCTGTATGTTATCGCTAATACGATCAAGTTGTGCATTAACCGTTTACCTATGCCAACATGACTCTGAATAAACAGATCTGGTATTTAAATAGTCTTCTCGTGACGTCAAAAATAAAAGTAAAAGAATTGGCAGCAAGTAAGGAAATAAATCAGTTTGTATGTTTTACCTACCTGATCTGATGTATGTTTTCTAGGAGTGTTACTGGCAGTTTATTCAAGGGAATCCTTGAGTTCCATGAAGAAGGAGATACTACTTTAGCCAAACCAGACATCAGTTTTGCCGCATGCGAGGATGATATTGAATTATTGTGTGAGTCTAGGAGTAGCATTGGAAGCGAGTCTGATGATCCGATACATGATGAAACGTTACTACAAGACTTGTTTTATGCGAATAAGGTTTGTTCACTTTTTTCTTCCTCTTAACCAGAGCAAGACACACCTGCCCAAGATGACGATATACTGTCATGAAACTGATTGATTGCATCATTGATGAGCTGATTGATTGCATTGTGCTCACATCCAGACAAACGATACAGGCTGGCGACTGCTAGCAGATGTATATGATACGATTGCTACTGAAACGCCGGAACCCAGAAAGTCACTATTTCCAGCTGCTGATATTAGGAAATGCTGTATTATTTAACTACCAGCACAACATCAGCATCTGTCAACCTCAGCCTGCCTAGTCAAGTATCATTTTTTCCAAATCTTGTATCATTGGTTTGTTTTATGGTGTTCATGTTGAGCAGAGTGTTCTATATTAAACCTTCCTCACTGACCTCACATATGGTAAACCTTCCTCACTGACCTCACATATCGTAAACTTTCCTCACTGACCTCACATATGATAAACTTTCCTCACTGGCCTCACATATCGTAAACTTTCCTCACTGACCTCACATATCGTAAACTTTCCTCACTGACCTCACATATGATAAACTTTCCTCACTGACCTCACATATGATAAACTTTCCTCACTGACCTCACATATCGTAAACTTTCCTCACTGACCTCACATATCGTAAACTTTCCTCACTGACCTCACATATCGTAAACTTTCCTCACTGGCCTCACGTATGGTAAACTTTCCTCACTGGCCTCACATCGTAAACTTTCCTCACTGGCCTCACATCGTAAACTTTCCTCACTGACCTCACATATGGTAAACTTTCCTCACTGACCTCACATATCGTAAACTTTCCTCACTGGCCTCACATATGGTAAACTTTCCTCACTGACCTCACATATGGTAAACTTTCCTCACTGACCTCACATATGGTAAACTTTCCTCACTGGCCTCACATATGGTAAACCTTCCTCACTGGCCTCACATATGGTAAACTTTCCTCACTGACCTCACATATGGTAAACTTTCCTCACTGACCTCACATATGGTAAACTTTCCTCACTGGCCTCACATATGGTAAACTTTCCTCACTGACCTCACATCGTAAACTTTCCTCACTGGCCTCACATATGGTAAACTTTCCTCACTGACCTCACATATCGTAAACTTTCCTCACTGGCCTCACATATGGTAAACCTTCCTCACTGACCTCACATATGATAAACTTTCCTCACTGACCTCACATATGGTAAACTTTCCTCACTGACCTTACATATCGTAAACTTTCCTCACTGGCCTCACATATGGTAAACCTTCCTCACTGGCCTCACATCGTAAACTTTCCTCACTGGCCTCACATATCGTAAACTTTCCTCACTGACCTCACATATGATAAACCTTCCTCACTGACCTCACATATGATAAACTTTCCTCACTGACCTCACATATGATAAACTTTCCTCACTGACCTCACATCGTAAACTTTCCTCACTGGCCTCACATATCGTAAACTTTCCTCACTGACCTCACATATGATAAACCTTCCTCACTGACCTCACATATGGTAAACTTTCCTCACTGACCTCGCATATGATAAACTTTCCTCACTGACCTCACATATGATAAACCTTCCTCACTGACCTCACATATGGTAAACTTTCCTCACTGACCTCACATATGGTAAACTTTCCTCACTGACCTCACATATGATAAACCTTCCTCACTGGCCTCACATATGATAAACCTTCCTCACTGACTTCACATATGATAAACCTTCCTCACTGATCTCACTTATGGTAAACTTTCCTCACTGACCTCACATATGATAAACCTTCCTCACTGGCCTCACATATGATGAACCTTCCTCACTGGCCTCACATATGATAAACTGGCCTCACATATGATAAACTGGCCTCACATATGATAAACTGGCCTCACATATGATAAACTGGCCTCACATATGATAAACTTTCCTCACTGGCCTCACATAATGTATGTAAACTTTCCTCACTGGCCTCACATATGATAAACTGGCCTCACATATGATAAACTTTCCTCACTGGCCTCACATAATGTATGTAAACTTTCCTCACTGACCTCACATATGATAAACTTTCCTCACTGACCTCACATATGGTAAACCTTCCTCACTGACCTCACATATGATAAACTTTCCTCACTGACCTTACATTTCGTAAACTTTTCTCACTGACCACACATATCGTAAACCTTCCTCACTGGCCTCACAAATGGCAAACTTTCCTCACTGGCCTCGCATGTCGTAAACTTTCCTTACTGGCCTCACACATCGTAAACTTTTCTCACTGGCCCCACTTATGGTAAACTTTTCTCACTGGCCCCACTTATGGTAAACTTTTCTCACTGGCCCCACATATGGTAAACTTTCCTCACGGGTGGTACCCGTATACCCGCAGCTTTTTTGCACTCTGCATTTGTGCACCATAGTGGATCGTAGCTCTCCATGAAAATGCCGAATGAACTCGGATTGATACAGTATTAAATAAAACACAGCACTCTCGTAACTTTGTTTTCAGGAATCCTCTACGTTTAACGAATCAAGGCAGAGTGTTCATGTAGAGATAAAGGAAAATGAACCATTTAACGACAAAGATGAAAATAATACGCTTGAGGTACAAAGTACTTGAAAATATATATCTGGTGAATCCATGTGTCTGTTTTAATAAATGTAACATCTTGCACGTATATTTTAAAATCGTTGATGTGTTTGCTATTCACAGATAGCCATGGCGTAACTGTATTAAAACATTTAATGGTTGTAACCGTAATGAGTTGTATGATGTATTCTCCAACAATAACCTACACTTTTCTTGTATGAGCCAGATACTTGTGTTCGATTAGAGCGAGGGTGTGTAGGTTTACTAAGGGTGTCAGGTGACTCGAAGAACATTTGAAGGGCAGTTCTATAGATTTTCTTTGTCTTGTGATCCATGAACTGATTTTTATACATTACACCATAAATCATTTTTTTCTGTGTTGTTGACCGCGTAGCTCAGTTGGCAGAGCATTGGGCTAGTATTCCAAAGGTCGTAAGTTCGATTCCCGCCGTGGCCGGGCATATTTTTCAAGCTCGTCCGGTGTGGATATACACTCAGAGTAACATCACAAACACCATAAATCATTGTAATTTCTCGTATTTCTTATTAGAGAAAGCCAAGTCCTACTGTTGAGACCCAATCTCAGGGATCTGCTGTGGAGTCACAGGGATCTGCTGTGGAGACCCGATCTCAGGGATCTGTAACAGTTGAAGCGACACCTGAAAAGAATGATGTTATTTCTAATCACAATTATGCTTCCTCAAGTGGAAACAAGCTTCCTCTGTCTGGTATGTCCTCAATCTATATAGTTTGTCAGTATGTTTTTTCTAATAAATCTTCACGTCAAGTTATGTTGTTCTTTGGTACATATAACTCAATCTTTAAACGTGTGGCACAATGGGCTTGTAATGAAAATGATTGAGGCATGTTGTTGTTCACAGTGATATGATGAAAGAAACAGGAATAGAAATTTATTGTTCTGGGAGATAAAAATTTTGTGTGTCATTTATTTAAAGTAGCTTTATTAGGTAAAGCTTAATTAGCTTTATTAGCTTTAGCTTTTTTTTAGCTTTAGCTTTTTTTTAGCTTTATTAGCTTTATTAGGTAGCTTTTTTAGTTGTATACAAATAACTTATTAGCTTTATTAGGTAGCTTTATTAGTTGTATACAAATAATTTATTAGCTTTATTAGGTAGCTTTATTAGTTGTATACAAATAATTTATTAGCTTTATTAGGTAGCTTTTTTAGTTGTATACAAATAACTTATTAGCTTTATTAGGTAGCTTTATTAGTTGTATACAAATAACTTATTAGCTTTATTAGGTAGCTTTATTAGTTGTATACAAATAATTTATTAGCTTTATTAGGTAGCTTTATTAGTTGTATACAAATAACTTATTAGCTTTATTAGGTAGCTTTTTTAGTTGTATACAAATAACTTATTAGCTTTATTAGCTTTATTAGGTAGCTTTTTTAGTTGTATACAAATAACTTATTAGCTTTATTAGGTAGCTTTTTTAGTTGTATACAAATAATTTATTAGCTTTATTAGGTAGCTTTTTTAGTTGTATACAAATAATTTATTAGCTTTATTAGGTAGCTTTTTTAGTTGTATACAAATA